CTTTTGTGTATTGCACAAAAATTTTTGTTCTCAGATGTCCGGTGTTTCTGCTTAAAAATTCATAACTACACTAGACTTTAACCAAATTCAACATTTTTACAGCCGTTAGAAAGTTTAATTTATTTTCTTTCGTCTTCTGTCAACAAGAAAAATAAGGCTCCTCTAAGAACTCCCTAAAAATTTTACTTCATATCTCCGGATCTAATTTTTTTACCGAATTATATATTAAGTTTCCTGTTGATCGGTGGAGTCGTTTCAAAGTTATTTTGGACGGCGAAAAATTGGATAGATTTTTTTTGTGCGTACGAATGCGGAACGACTTCATCGATCCTAATTTTTAAGATTTAGAACTTATAAAATACACGTAATAGCATAGCTTTAGCCTCCCAAAATAAATCCTGCGTAAACCTTAACCTACGTAAAAAAATAATCGATTGATATGTAATAACCTTGAAATACATACACAACAAGGACAGATACTTCGGACACTCATATTTAAAAAATATATTTAATTTGGTTTATCAATATAATTTGTCTGGACTCCTATGGCCCATTGGCAAGAACGTTCAGAAAAGTGGATAATATTTTTCGACCTGATATCACCAAAAAAATTTCATTAAAATCGATGATCCCACGTCCATGAGGTGCCTTTGTGAGGTAAATTATGATCAAAGAACTGTCAGCCTTGAATAATTGATGAAATAATGACTCAATATATCACATATGTGATGTATGCACCTTTACTTTACCTTGCAATACAAAGTATTTATTTGTCGAGAGACCTAAAATATAAAGCTATAATACATAAAGCAGCCGAACGGCGTCTGTCTAGATTAAAACGTGAATTCAGACCTTTGATAGACAGTGGACATGGCAGCTGATAAGCAAAACCTGACAAAAGTTTGAATTCAATCGAACCATTTCAACTCCGGTCCTCTTCCACCCTGGACTAGCATATTTTACATTCAAACTACCGACTTTAAAGTATCTACTGTTAAATACACTCGGTAATATATAATCCATAACAATTTTTTTAATATTTGGTTATCTGATCATATCTACTCTAAATGTCTTGTTTTAATATATATACCCAGCGAATATACGCTGACGGTTGATCATGGATGAGCGAACTATTTACCTATGATGATGAAATAATAGGAAGGATTTTTGTTAGCACAAGCTATAGTAATGTGTTTGCCAGTTTTGACGAGGTTTTTTTAATCATGAGTTTACCGGGTATGGCACCTCTGGAGTTGGATTCTGTGTTTGTCCTTGTTGCCGAAAGAATAGGTACTAGCAAGAGTCAAGGTCTAGCAGATCCTCCTCTGGTCGGTTTGTCTGCTTTTTCATTACCCAGAACTCCTTTTGTCCTGGCATCTAGTTGTTGTATTTCCCCAGGTTTTGGAGATTTAGGATGCATTCACTGACATTTCTACATGTGATCTTATTGCTCTTTCAAAAGCAATTTTACGTCGCTGAATAGACATCCAGCAGCGGATAATATGATAAATAATCAGTAAAAAAAACAGATTGCGACAGAGGGTCTCAGACTGGCTAATAATTCTTGGGAGGTTGAAAGATAACCCAATAATGCGGCAACGGCCGAAAATATGGGAGCAATAATAAATAATAACCATAATACATTACTAATTGCATTTTCACCCGAACCATGGCGACCTAATAAAGCGGTACACCTATCCGCTTCAGGTTTTGTGTAATCAAACATAGAGCAATAAGGTACATAACCTACCCAAACTTGGGGCAAAATCGCGGTCATTATAATATTCAAAAGTAATCAGTGCCATCATCAATGGCACGATAATAAAAATTGATTGTTGATAATAACGCATTGCCCTTTTAACATTTTCTTCTGACCAACCAAAATGAGAAATAAGCAAACCATCAGTTGCACTGATTATAAAAACCCATAAAACCGGTGTTGTTGCACTGACTCCATAACCAAACGCTGTGGCCATTGGGAATTGCCAGGCGCTTTGGAGACCGTATCCAATCGCTGACCATAAAATAGGTAAAGTCAGCGCGATAAGAATGGACCAAAATACATTTCGTAAGGTTAGGGCAAAGCGATACTTTGCCAATACGTGTGCTGGCGAAGAAGAAAATTATTATAGTGCTGGTGAGTACTAATGCTAAAAATGACGATAGCAACTGCAGCGAAGAGATATAGCAAACTATCTTGGGTGGCGATAATAACTTTAATCGCTCCACTAAGCTGAGATAAAGTATCTAATAATAGTAAACGAGTCCAATCTTTTACTATAATAATTGGATAGTTGAGTCGTATAGAATCGCTATCAGCATTTCCAGAACATATAACAGTGCGTGGCATCTTTCATATCTGTTAATATATCCGTTAACTGGGTTGCTGAAAAGTTTAGCTTTGTCAACTCCAATATTTCTCTGTCATAACCTGAAATTAGTGAGCTAGCACGCTAGTGCTGGTGGGTGGCTGGTTTTGGGTGTTCTTCAACCCACTACTGTTTGCGCGGGTTCAGTATCCAAAGAAAAGTGCAACAAAACGTTCCGGATGAAATCATCAGAAAATGAAATTATCAGCCCTTACGCCATCTTCAAAGTACTGTTTAGTTCGTAAAACATGTGAAACCATGAGAATAGGCGTAGGGAAGTTATCAGTGTCGGATTAAATCAACAAAATTCCTGAAGGAAGATAATGAGTCTGATGTAATAGTGACACTAAAGAAACGAATCTTAATCTGAGTAACGTTTAATTATGAAAGTAGTGATGTGCGTTGGGTAATGAAATTTGATGGAATCCTGTGAACGCACATCGGCATTTCGACATCTATGACAGAAGAAACCAGCGATAATTAGCCAAGATGACCAACGACACGATAAAGATTCTCATCCAAGCCCAAGCTCGTAAGTTACTGTAATTGGTATTCGGAATCTGTCAGCACAGTCTATAACATAACAAACTGCTTGCTGACAGATTCTTCCTTAGAGAAAGCCTACAACTAGCTGGGGAATCTGTCTGGAGCGGTCAATATTTAACGATATCCTTGGCAGTAAGATAACAGACTGAGAGTAGATGTACGCGCAAGGTTGTTTCTTAGCTATTCCACTTTAATATTCAATATTATTAATGTAATCATTATAGTTTACTTAAGTGGTCACTAACTAACAAAGTATAGCCTTTTTAGTTGTTTACATATATAGATCTCAAGTGCATTCTTGCCGCCACAAATATCTTACAATAAATTTCCAAAGGCCAATATGATACTGTAAAAGCAAAGTCAGTAGAGTTGAATCTTCTGAGGATCTCTAACGTCCGTACTGATGTTCAGTACTATCAAAGGACTACGAAGATTTTACGGATGGAATTGTACCAACCATCGGCCAACGAGGTGGTGCAATACTAGCCAGGTTCAGAAGTGCATCAAGGAACCTCAACCCATAAGTCTTTAACCACCCCGGAGAAATAGAAAATGCACTATACCATCCATATTGGAGAACCATATTGTTCTCAAACCACGAGTACTCCCGTGGTTCAGAATCATTTTTAACGTGAAACTGATACTCGCCCGGCCCCTCCGATGATGATGGTGAAATACTAGGAAACGGGGGATGGGTACTTCATAACATATTGAAATTAAGTTTCAAAGCCCTAGTGAAGGTGTACCATTTCTGATTCCTGTATAAGATAATATATACAATTTATTGTTTAATTCACTGGTCACTAAACAATTATAGTTTTTGTTATTTTGCCAGTGCCATCTAGATCGACTTACCGTCAATATCTCACTGTTTATTCTAACCTCCACAAAAAATTTAAAATAAAGTTCCAAAGGCCGGATGAAGGTCAACTGAGAATCTAGCTTTAGACAAGAGTAGCTTTTTAGACCAATTTGACATTTAGGATAACCTCCTTAAGTATTGACGTCTGTTCACTGGATACCCTGTAAAATACTCCCGTTTCCTCAAAGAAAAGTAATAGAGGGCTGAAATACAGATGGAGCCAAAGATACCAAAGCCTATCAGGCATTGTATTATTACTTCTGGAATCCTTGTTACTAAAGATGCAAATTAATATAGTTTAATTCACTGATTATGCCTCTTACGTCCCCAAGTATAGGTTCTTTAAGGTTTGAGAGTTCCTTTGTCCAGTCTGCTTTTTCATTACCCAGAACTCCTTTGATTACAGTTGGTGTTTTACAAGGTTTTGAAAATTTTGGATGCGTTAACTGACTTTTAAATGCGACCTTTTTACGTATGGCTGTTTGCTCTTGTTAAGATTACAATTGTCCAAAGTTTGTTTACAACCTGCGTCCCGCTTAATCTCGCTCCGAGCCTGAAATGGACCATATTCGGCATGCACCAACCTTGATTTATCCACTGCTAACCGCTCGATAACAATAATAATTTTTTTAAAAATATTTTGTGGTATTAACTAATTGTTTTGGCTCTAAATGTCTTTTTTATAATAAAAAAGTATATATTTAATTTTTTTTTAAACTTGAAAAAAAAAATACTGACGGACCTTGACCTTGACGTAAAGTTGATCGAAACGTTTAACTATTTCAGATTCATACTGTAACAATTTTGATTTATCTTCTGTTTTAAACATTTAGCATTAATTGATAGGAGCATCCTCAGTGGTGCGAGTAAAGCCAAAGTTTGACTTCGATTTCCGGTCCGCACAATCTCGCTCTGCTCGGGTGTAATTTATCTTCAATCCATATTTTACTCTGCGTACAACTTTGATCTATCCACTCATGACCACGCGATGTAACAATCTCTCTTCATAATGTATTAATTTGCATAAAAATTATTTTCTCGATTTAAAAAAAAAAATTGATGATCAGTCTCAAAATTTAATTTAAAAAAAAATGAAATTTTCGGAAAGTCAAATATAGACAATTTTTACGATGAAATTGGTTTTTCGTGAATTGAATTTTGGTTCGATCATCATGCCAATTGGATAAAATGATATAAGGGGAAAAAATGGCTGAAATACGTACGTTGACGAAGTATCGGGCGGGAACTCGAGCAGAAAACGACGTCGACTGTGCGACGGCTTGCAGCGGACTGGCGAGGGGCGAGGGCGGCCGCGGGGTCCACTCATCAGCACCTATCGCCAGAGAACCCTGTCGGCCGCTGAAGCAAGCACGCCGGGTCCAAGTATCATGCCATCCAGATAAGGAATTTTTTTCTCAATTACAATTTATACAAAATTATTAATACAATATATAGTATTTTCCGTCAAATTGATCCTTTTTAACTTCAAATTAATCTTTTCTTTAATTTTGGGTAAATAACTAGTGAACTACTTCAACCGATTCTATGAACAATTGAAGAAAAGACAATCAACCAAAAAAGGAAAAGGATTACTAATTTATAATCTAGTTGGACTTCAAATTAATCTTTTAAAAAAACTAACTTCAAATAAATCTTTTTTAGCTTCAAAATAATCATTTTTAATTAACCTTTTTTTAAAAATTAAAATGAACTCTTTTTTAGTTTGGATGTTGGATCCTCTGTTTTATTACATATAAATATTGTATATACTGTGTGTGTGTGTGTGTGTATGTATTTATTTGTAGATAATTTATATTCAACTATTATTATTATTCAATTGAACTTATCATCAAAAAAAGGACATTCCAAAAAAAGGAAAAAGATTAGTAATTTTGACTCCAAATTAATATTTTTAAGTAAAAAAAAAAAACTAACTTCAAATAAATGTTTTTTAGCTTTAAATTGTGCGTATTTATTTGTAAATTTATATTCAATTATTATTACTGTTCAATAATTATTCAGAAATCGTGAGATGCGGTCTGGTGACTCTCTGGTCTCTCCACCACACCGCATCTCACGATTTCTGAATAATTATCGATTAACGGTCACTAATCACCACACATTACTGTTCAATTATTATTTACATTAAATTATTATTCAATTCGACTTATCATCAAAGAAAGGACAATTAACCAAAAAAGGACAAGGAAATGTATGTGTGTGTATTTATTTGCAAATAATTTATATTCCATTATTATTATTCAATTATTACTTCTATTCAATTATTAATTCGATTCAATGTATCATCGAAGAAAAGGACAATAAACCAAAAACGGAATTTGATTAATAATTTATAATCTATTTCAATTTAACTTTAAATTTTTTAGTTTTTAGCTAAAATAACTATAACTTCAAATAAATCTTTTTTAGCTTAGGAAATATTCATATTTGTGCATAAATGAAATGTAAAAAGCTCTCAAAAAAAAACAAAAAACAAACAAGCAAACAACATTGGATATACAAATTTATTAACATAACTGATTTAACATTACCGATTTACATTTTAGTCTTCATGATTTTCTTTTTGTAATATTTGTTGAAAACACTTAAATTTATAACACTAAATAATATTTAGATAATTTGTAAAAATTGTCCACATTAAAATAAGCAAACGAATGTGAATTAACAAAATGTGAGTTTTGAGTGTATTATAATAAGCTCAGAATTATTAGTGAAAAAAACTTATTTACAAATTAATAACCAATAAACTAACAAAAACTTTGCTTAATTTACATTAGTAAATTTTACTAAAAATCAAGCAAAAAAAAAATACCATTAAGAAATGAATTTTATCTTGTGTGATAAAATGTGGTAATGTTCACATTTAAATTTACATAAAAAAAAGCGATTTAAAAAAACTAAAGCTGAGGTCTATTGTTCAAAACAATATAACTTTAAATTAAATAAACATCTAAGAAATAAATGTTATAGCTATTATAGTTTTTCAAACTATGTACATACACAATATAAATTGTATATAAACTATCACTATATATTAAATTTATCCACAATAAAAACAAAATGGAATCTTTTTCCTTTACAGCCGATGAACAGCGAGATAGGAGAAAAGAAAACAAATTGCAATAGTTGGGGAAAATATATCACAATCAGAAACAAAAACCTCATCACCTAAAATGCAACATCATACGATAAATAAATCAAAATCCTTAAAAAGAAACTATAAATGTTATTTTTTTAAATATATATAAATATATGAGAGCAAAACAATATTACTTTTAAAAAAATTAGTGAGATATTTTATTAAATCCATCCAAGTGGGTTCTTTTACTTTTTTTTTTTTAAATTGGAAATGACTGTGGTTAAAAAATAATACATCCTTATTGTTTTAAAAAGAATGAAAATTTCCCAAAACTTTCATTACACATAAAAGAAAAAAATAACAAGAGAAAAAAAAATGAATATGGCATTTTTGAAATTTCAACCGGTTTGAAAGGTATACGTGGCTGTATTGAACGAGACATTGTTTGTTGCAGATGTAAAGGGTCAACAGTAGTTATTGTACTTGGGAGAGAGTCGGCTTGTAGAAGGCTGTGGTGAGCCGGAGCCTTCATACCGGCTAGTCTTTGGGCTTGGCGCCTCGCTCAACTCCAGGTCCGAATGCCTTTTACGGTTCTCTGGGGAGTTGACGCTCGTGTTTTCCTAAAAGAGAATATAATTATATACGAATAATGATATGTAGATATTCAGTCATACCTCAAGGCTGTCGAAGGTATCCTCTTTGAACTTTCTTTCATAGCCCGATCCAGAACTTGAATCAGGCTCGTCTGTTCGATATAAGCTGCCACTGGCATCGTCCTGTTCAGGATCCGTGCTCTTCATGCGTTCTTCGTCCTCTTCTTGCATCCCAAGATCCTTTGTAAATTCTATGAGTACATTTGTGATGTACTGATGCAATAGTTCCCTGTGCGGCTCACCTAAATAATTTTTATTACTCTTACAGTCATAAAACAATTTTCAATGTTCATAATAGTAACATGACAACCGTTAGCTGATGAACATAAATTTGGATGAGAAATTACCCGGGTAATGCTTCTGTGCGAGTAGAACAGCTACGTCATACAAACTGCTGTTTAGATTTGGGTTGCTTTCATTCGTGAACCAATTTATGTTGTCTTTCTTGAGTATACCTTTCCAATCGAGGACCAAACTTATCTAAAAGTCATTTTGCTTGTAATAATTTATTAAATTCCTTGAGTAAATATATTTATTTACGGTATAAGGCCTTTGTTCATGGAGTTGCCCATCCCACCAGTGTTTGAACCCACAATAACAACTTGATTTTTTAGGGTCAGAAACGGGGAAAGTCGTCTTGTCGCCATTTTCATAAACCACCGTGCCATCGCTCCTGATTTTCCTTAGTTTGTTACTTCTATAACCATATAAAATATGTATAATTTAAACAAAAACTATTATAAAAAATGCATACTCATGACAAAATGGGCAAGGATCGGTAGAAAGGTACTTGTTGACTACCAGCATGTCGTATCGTGCATCATACAGCATAGTTATACCCTAAAAACATATAAGTTTAATTGTCTGCTCTATGAGATAAATATAAATAAACGTACATAATTTCTAAAAGTGTATTCATAGTCTTCCTGCAAAAATCCGAACATTTTCTTGGCGTTGTTGTAAAGAAGACCGCCTGGCCTGAGCCAGTGGCTTGTGATTGGTACGGCGCAAAGGGCATTGCAAGCGATGCATCTAAGCAACCGTCGTTCCTGAAGAGTCTTTGCAGCTACTTCGACGACTAAATCAAACTTGGGTGCACTCACTGAAAGAAGAATAAAAAATTTGAAAAAATGTTGAAATTCATAATTCATCTATAATTAAAAAAGTGAGTTCTATTGTGAATGAACTTTTGTTCCCCTTATTTATATACATATAACAGTCAACTCTTGATAATTCAAATCTCAGGGGGAAATTAAAAAATTCAAGTTATCTAGTATTTTGACTAATAGAGATTCGAGGGGTATCGAGCCTGCTAATTCACTTGCTGTCGTACTTATCCTTAATTTTGCTTCTGAATTACCGAAGGTAGTGAATCCTTGTCATGCGGTAGGTCGGAAAAAATTGTCCTTCAAAATGTTTGTTCCTTAGCATTTTGCGTTTCAGACCTTTCTGAACAAATTTGGTTCTGTGTCTGTCTATCTAATTCATTGTAACCAGAAAACTCCGCAACTAAGAGACCAAATTTTATGAAATTTTCAGAGAGTGTGCAGGTCCTTTTCTAGATGGTCCCCTTCGAATTTCATCTTAATTGGACCAATGTTATCGCCTGCACATGTGCAAACAAAATCCTATATATAGTTCTATCTCCAAAACCATTAAACGCCCAATGGACGAGGGGAGGGCTGACTCATCTACACTGTAATAGGATCATTTGCCCGTTTTCATGACTATTATAATAAACTCAAATTTTTGTCTAAATATTTCAAATTGTAAGATACTCATCAATCAAAATTTTTAAATGTTTTTGAATGCTGAATTCAACAGTGCGACTGGTTTTTAATTTGAAGCAACCATTCTCAAGTTACTAGCAAACAACTATAACTAAATGTGTGTCTGGAGAGTGGACATTTTGGCTCAAGAGAAAAAAAAAAATTGGGGAGAGTAGAGAAGTTAAACTCACTCTGTAAATAAACATATATGAAAGTATTAAGTTATTCTAACATTTACCTAATTTTGTACTGTACTGATAATGGAAAAGGTCCGCAACAATGGCAGGTGGCACACCCTTTCTTGTAAGGAAAAGATCATCCATCGCATATGTCAATTTGGCAATGTATACCTGTGCTAAATCTCCATCCCCACCTAAACATATTGAAATTACAATTAAATATGCATTTTTACAGACATAAAAAAGATTTATAAGAGCATATTTAAGATGAACAAATTAAATAAGTACCTATAGTTACACAATTTTGATCATCAAACTTCATATATGTGTCAAGAAGAGTCTGTGGGAAACCCCAGACTTTAGGTAGAAAGTTGCGTGGGAATTTAGGCAGTGGCACTGAAAAAAAATTATGATTATTGAAAATTGGTATTGATCCATGACTTGAAACTCACATTCTTTAACAGGCACTAAAGGTATGTAGTGATTACGAGCAGCGCTTGACCAAGCAAGGCACAATGGGGGATTGAGCTGGCCACTCTTGCTGCTACAGGCCATCGGCGGGTTCAAGCCCGGGAGGAAAACGGCTGAAAATTAACAAAAGATAACAGCTGTGATGGGGGGAAAGGAAAATAAATCTCACCTGCATAATCTGCAGAAGCGTTCATGCCAGCTAGTGAGTCGAGTAAGATTATGGGTCTTCTGAGCAGATTGGCGAGACCGAATACATGGATGTTCCGCAACCCCACCATACTCCCGTCTCCTGGCTTGTAGTCAGGCTCACATTCGTCAATGATGCAAGGCCACTCTGAATTATTTATAAAATTCCCTAAAAGGGACTAAAAGCAAATAAATTTTTTAATTAAAGAGCATATAAGAGAATAAAAAAAAAATTATTTTTCATTGTGGACAAGTTGATCAGAAAAATATTTTAACACTGAACTCTGTATTTAAATAATTCCAATATTATTTTTAGCCTTATAAATTTAAGTAATTATAAATTATACCTTGTACTTTTCCAGGTTTATGTTAAAATGGTGTTTAAGGCCGATCCTCAAGGGATGCCAGAAAAGTTCACGTCCAACAACTGCCCTTGAAATGGCATGAACCAGACAATGGCCATCCCCATCGGCATGCAGCGGTATCAAAGAATGCCTGCATATTTAATATAGAAAAATATTAAATTACAATTCCCTCTGATAGCCTTAATAGGCCAGGAGTATGTCTATAAATGTTTAAATACATACATGTAATTAATTAATCATACAATAAAAACAGTAATACTTATTAATATTATTCAATTATAACAAAATAAAATGTACAGTTAAGACTTACATGTTGTTATTATATGGCAAAAGTGCAGTTAGTGTTTCTGAGAGGTACTCATTTGCCGCATTGTCTTTACCAAAACCAACAATATCAATGTGGCGCAGTTCAATCCTGAATGTTCTATCACCGAAAACACTACAGTCCAAACCAGCCCTAAAAAATTTATATATGCATTATCAAACAGTACATTATGAAATTAGAGAGATAATGAACAAAATACGGTGTTTAATTTTAGAATTTTTTTCATATTCTACAGGCAATATACCTTCCAGTGAGCTGCCTAAGAGATCTTGCTTTCCCAGTGTGCTTGTCCATGCCGTATGTCGAAAGTAAGGGAGAAACGAGTTTGTGGTGGTAGTGAGAGAAGCCCATGACCTTTATCTACAAAAGTTTAAAAAAAGACAAAAAAAATCAGCCCCCAGGACGGTTACAATTCAGAGGTAAGCATCTTAAAACCTAAACGAGCATTCCGAGAGAAGATAGGAAAGCCTACCAAATCGGCTCCCCTCTGCGGCACATTGAGTTTATTCCCTGGGGTGTGAATTGTGCAGTGGTATGTATCCAATGCAGGGTCGAAAGGCGATTTGTTGTCAAGGGCGTCAACCGGCATTGTCTGGCCGCAGCTGTGGCATGTGACCACCGAAGACTCTTCGAGGTAGACAATAACCTCCCGGCAGTATTCATCTTTGCATGTACCCTTCCACATCTCTCCAACATTTAGCTTTCACAACTAGAAAAATATAAAAGATGAAATTTGCTATTTAAGGATGTTTGACTATTATAATGATTCTATTTTTTAAAAATAGAAACAGTTCAACTTTAAAGTTTAAATTTGATGAATTAGATCATTTGATATATATATATCAATAACCACAAAATGAAACTCTAGATGATTTCGGTTTATTTTTAACTATGCTAACAAAATATAGCCTAAACGGAAGATGAAAAAATGGTGAAATGGCCCTAAGAAACAAATGATCAAAACTTCACTAAGTGCAATTTACACAAAATTCAATTTGTATTAAAAATGAAGCATAGCTAAATTTTATTTAAAAAAAGCAAAATATTGTAATTTTGTCCCTTGTATTCAGTTTTTCCTTAAAGCTGAGTGATTTTTTTTTCTTATGTTACTTTATTACCTACAGGATAATAATACAAATTATGATTTTTATTATAAGGATGTGAAATCGACCCAACATCCAAAAGCCACCAACCCAGCCACGATCATCCTTTCTTTAATTCAAAACAGCTTAGGCTATAAATAAACCTTTCCAGTTTGTATTTTTCTTACAAAATGTTTTTAAAATTTCTACAGTTCAACAGGCCTTAGAGATTAAATTAATATGTTAGCTGTTGTATTACACAGAGAAGAAAGTATGCCATTCAGAGAAAAAAAAACTTGTCTTCCTAATTATTTATAAAACTCATATGACAAATGTAGTCTGTTGACACCATGTCTGTTGACCAGAATCAGAAGTCAAAGTCCCACATTTACTTTTATGTGTGCATTGGTTTCAGAGATATTTGACTGTTAAAATGTTAATTTTAAACATAGTAATCTATGAATAACGTAAAATCTCTCTTAGCTTAAAAGTCAAAAATTTCTTATTTATATTCACATCATATATCCTCTGGCTTAACAACAGTAGTTTTGTGTTTAGAGAAATAGAGGTCAAAATGGCAGAAGCGATTTTGACAGAAGTGTGCAGAGGATCTTTAGGTAAGAAAATCATCTATATAGGGAAAGGAATGGGAAGATATCTGATACAGCAAAGAGCCAAGAAAGTATTTGGAAGGGTATAACCACTTCAACTCGGTGTCCAGATCAGTCACATGGCCCTTGGGAAGCTGAGGATAAAACAAACAAAACGATTCATTAGAAGTTTAAGCTTAGTAAGAATAAGTTCTCAGATCAATGGAATTGTATTCCAGGACAGAGAAATGCAAAATGTTCATGAAAGAGTCTTTGCAGAAAATAAAAGCAGAACTATTAAACCTAAGATATGTTAGTACAAGAATGATACTAGGAATGCAACTGGCGTAACCAAAAAATGAGTACATTCATCAAAAAACCAATTCCATGAAATGCGCAAAAATAAATGAGACCCCACTGATTATTAATTTCACATGTAAATTAATTTTGTCACAATTTTACATTAAACTTCCATGTTATTATTTAGGCTTTAGGAAGAATAAAAAAATAAAAAAGATTATACATGTAAATTCAATATAAATTTGTTGCTTAATATTATTCAAAAATTATTTTCCTGACTTTTTTTAGAATTGACTTCAACCTCAATACGACGGGGGTTGGTGGCCACAACAGTTTAGGCATTTACATGGCACTCATCACTGTAAGGGAAAGGTCCTGGGTTCAAATCCAGCGGCCTTGCTTTCAAACCCGACAAACAAATTTAAATACTGTCACCCCGAGGGTTTAAAAAAAAGTTCCGAAACTGTATGGAAACATTTTTTACCAATTATATAATCATGGCTTTTTAGTGTAATTCAAATGCAATACAGCTTTGCAGACCAAGTGAGTAACCCATTACCAATTCAACTTAAGTACAGGGACTAAGAACACGGAACTAAGAACACAAAATTATAAGTATGGACAGATGTAAAACATATCATGCTCAACAGGCATTGGATAACTTTTTGGGCCAAATTTCACAGGTTTGCCGAACTCTTGAACACATTTGAAACGCACTCAATAAATGGTCCAATGCCGGTTCAACATGAATTCTCAGACTCACAAACCAACCCAACATCAGTTCAACACGTATTAGATACGCAGACCAAAACCCATCAACTAGTGTTAAGATGAACAAATTGATAATTCATACCGATCGAACTGATGAAAATTGCAAATTTTAATTCATATTTTCAAAATGGAAATGTTTGCCTAATTAGAATTCAGGCAAAAAAGTACTAAGTCTTTGACCTATTTCATGGATAGGGTAACATGAAGTAACAAAAAAAATTAAACAATTAAGTAAAACGACAAAAATACCTACCATACAACATTCTTTCAAAAACTTAAAAAAAGAGTAAAATTTTTGGAAGAGGTTATATACAAACAAAATGTTAATCGATTTTTTCCCTTTTGAAAGGTTAAATATTGACGAAAATTGTTTTCTTAAAAAGATTTGGAATATAAAGTACGCAAAGTCCAGGTCCTTCGTGCTGTAGAGATAGGTAATGTAATAAAGTTTGTCTTACACAGAATTTGATGAAAATCAAACAAAAACGTCTTCGACTTTCTTGAAAGCAATGAAAACCAATGTGCTCGTCGATCTGACACATTCCAATAAACAAGCTGAGACGTTCTAGGGTTTAATTTTATTCAAACTGCCCTGTTTGTTTAAAAAGGGAATGAAAATTGTTTATAAAGCCCGGTTTTTTTAAACAAACTGGACAATTAAGTACACATAAAAATTTTGCTCGGAAGGGAAACATAGAACGAGGTTTTAGAGAGGATCGATATATTTAAGTTATCATTTACGTCATGATGGAGTTTAAAACAGTTTTTGTCCATTTCTTTGATTTGATTGCAATTGTAATTAGGATTAGTAGAAAAGCGTGATTTTGTCGTTTTTTACGTGAAATGTGCGTCAAATTGACTACGAGTTCGAATAGCATTTTTAAGATATTCATAGGAATTGCAGGAATCACAGTGGAATCGTTTGAATAAATAGTTAATATGAAATTAAATAATTAAAAGATTGTTAACAGTGAAAAACCTGATAAATAAAAGTGACGTCTCCTTTCGCCTATCCGAAGATCTAGCTTATCACTTAAACGTTTAAGTTCCAAACACACACCCCAAAAAGTAAAAGTCCAACGCGTAAACTAAGCAGTTTTCTCTGTAATTAAAAAATCAAATAACTGGATATTTGGATAAAAAAACAAAAGAACGCAGCGTTTGCGATAGACTTTTGTTTTATTTCTGAACCCGACGGCAGTCACTTCCCGGGGTGGAAACGGTTGGAGATCCTTTTTGAAAAACGTCGAAGATCGTCGGCCGGTGCAAAGCGCCGAGAGATAGCTCCGTCAAAGGGTTTTTGATGCAGTTTTCCTCCTTTTCCCGTCAACTCACTTCCCGAGTCAGATCCAACGAGGTCACCTCATCGGAACTGCTGAACCTACATCGCGAAGTCCGAACTCTTAACTCTGTTAAACACCGACTCGGACAAACGGGAAAATAAAACTTTTTCCGATTGTTTAAAAAAAAAGAAGAAAAAGGTCCACTGCTCTTCCTCACCACTACTCTTGCCACGAATAAAAACGAGACGGATCAACAACCAACATGGGGAAAACAGAAACTAAACATTGGACAAAACAGCTGGCGACAAGTTACCAACATCGACTTTTTCCCGAAAATTTCATCCTGTTTTTTTCTCTAACCGTATCAAACACAATTTATTAAATGTAAAATTATATCATTTTAACAAAAACTTTACTCTACTGGATAAAACGAAATTATTGAAAAAACTTGAATGTTTAATTATTTGGATTTTTTGAGAGGGACATCTCAAATTGTCCACGACATCTGACCAACTACTTTTCCGATTTACTATTTACATTTTTTCTGTTTACAGTAAAAGAGTTATGGGCGAGATAATAAAGTTAAAAAAACACACTTAATTCGAAATGAAGAATTTTATTGCTCAAGGCAAACGGTATCGTAAAAGTTTATATCCTGTTATTTAGAAAAAAAAATTGGGTTGTAAATTAAGTAAATTAATAGCGTTTTAAATAATTCAATTTTATCTCTATTGCGTTTTCATCAATCAATCATTATTGTTTGGAAAAAAATTATTTATACGAAAAAGTTTCCCTGATTTCCCGCGTCCCCCCACCCTGTCACATTTTTACATTTTCGCACAAACCGGTACGACACAAAAAGAACCGCACTTTATGTGAGTACGAAATACTTTTTTCAACACTTATATTTATATCTGTACTTTTAAATCAACATACTCTGTAATTCACCCAGTCCCTGAAGATTACCCCTAATGAAAGTCGAAAGGCTGGGGGAAAATAATGAAAGTTGTGTTTTTCTAAAATACTCCATCCTTGGCCGCTCCTCACGACTTCAACAAATTATTTATACTGTTTTTATCCGTCGGTTTCGTACAAGATCTCGTATTTTCACAAGGTGTTTTCCTTATTTTGAAAGAGAATGGATATGGATAAAAGCGGTGGCCACAAGACTTTCCGCACCTCGACCTGAGTAGCTGTATTGTGCTCCTCCATTTTTTTATTTTTTATAAATCACTGGCCAGCTTCAGGTTGTTAACCAACCTTCTTAGCTTTGCCAGCAGCTCCTTAGAGTAGGATCTTGCTTGTGGCTTTTTCTCTCCTAGTTGCAAGAATTTCCACCTACAAAGACGTTCACCAAAATGCCTTCCTGGCAGTATCTGCACTATGATTTTTCTGTCTGTACTTCTATCTGGTTCATGTACCTTTTTAGGTGGTAGTGCCCTGGCAGGAGTCCAACCAATCCTGGTTCGGTTTCGGTTGCCTTCCAGTAATTCCTTTGTAGGTTTTGCAGAGTGCTCTTCTTCGCATGCCTCATACCTCGGGTATTGTTCCATCAGATTTTGAACACTTTAAGGATCCATTTTTGGATGTATCCTCTTTTGAGGCAAGGCGCTAGGCCAAGTATGGTTCGGGACCTAGAGTCCATGTTGGCTCCCTCTTTGGCCAACATATCAACCTTTTCATTACCTTTGTTCCCCGAATGCCAATTTAAAATTAAAGAAAAATATATGATTAAAGAATTTGTCAAAAAGTCTGAATTGCTTAGTTGTTCATTCTCTGGCTGCCTCCCTGACAAATTCTCCAATCATATATTCTATTTTTCTTTCATTTTAAATTGGCACTTGGGGTATAGAGAATCTAGAGATAATGAAAAGGTTCCTCACATGCTGACAGAAGACTTTATTAGAAGGCATTTCCCATCCCGCCTGTGACACAAATTTTTCCTATTTGAAAATTTGTATATAATTTTAATACATATAATAAAAGTAAAATGATGTACATCTATTATTTATGGATTTGATAGAATCTGATTTGGATAGATAGGCAGAACAGTTTCACACATTACCATTTTAAGACTAATTTTGAATTGGAACCATTCTGACCCGTTATTCAGAGATTCTCAGTAATAATTGGGCTCAAGTGAATTGTGACAATCTATCACACGTAAAGGCTCCAATTTGTGAACTAATAAAACAATTTCTTAATTAAAATCATATGATGTTTAGACCATTCATGTTGGGGAAAAAAATGTTTTTCTGATATTCAGTTTTGAGTTAACAAAGATACGTAATAGAAGTGGGAAAAATGCTAAGTATCGTATACAAACATTAGGCAAGTTTAATCCTAAATCTTTTAAAGTATAATCATTAGCTAATATGAAAGTATGCATGCATATATTTTCAATAGCCTATTCAAATAGGAATCATTGTTAACTTTAAACAAATGAATAAAACAACAAAACATACCTTTCCAAATTTAAATAACAAACAGTGCGAGACAAATCCTCATCCACCAGTACTTTGCTCTAAGAAATCAGTAATTCTTCTAAAATCTATTTTTTCAACTGATAAAACTTGGAAAAAAAGTGTATTGGATAAAAAGAGGGAAAACACAAGAACAACTTAAATATTTCTTATCCAGATGTGCATAATGAAAAATGCAAGATGAAGTCTTTTGCCCTGGAATAAAAATTGTAGAAAAATGTTCTATATGAGAATAAATGAATAACAAATTTCAACGATATATATTTTTTGAAATTTCAAGAAAAGTACAAAAATAACTCATCTGCTTGATCAAAATCAATATAAAATTTCTATAAAATACAGAATCTTTTAACTATAAAAATAACTGAGCTAGAAGGCTTGAAAAACAGTCTAAAATTTCTGATTTGAAATAAAAGATGTGATTTTCAGAGTTTTGATTTTAGAGATGTCATGAGTTTTTCAAGTTTCATTGCCTTCTGAAGATTGCCAGAAATCTTCAGCTTCCCAGTCAAGAAGGCTGCAGACGGTTTCAATTTTCCTAAATGATATAAAATGTTAGTTTTAATTTTTAAAAAGGAGGATTTTAATTTACCTGAGAAAAGGCTGAAGAAATTGTCTCCTGTCATGGTCAATGTCGAATCTGGAGTGTGAGATGGTTTTCCTTTACCAGCAGCACCAGAACCATTTTTCAAATCCAAGAACCAAACTCCCTCTTCTGAACCTGAACCAAGAAAAACAGACTAAGTACATTATAACATGCGGACTTCTATCGTTTCATGCTTACCTGTCAGATTAAACTGAAATACAGCTTGTGTGGACTTGACGAGTTCTGGACTCAGCCTTTTAGTAATCGCTGCAAAAATCGTCTCAACAGACTTGTCCCCTCCAGAGCTAGTGCTACTGCTGCTATTACTACTTTCCTGTTTAGGTGTGTACGATATTGCCTCATCCAAGAAGAAATCCGGCATTAGGTTCTCTACATTACCTTTGAAAAAAATTGTTGAATTATTTGAGTATATCACACACAAACAAAAATAATTACTTGGATCACAAGCGTACTGATCGATTTGCTCTTTAGTGAGGCCTTCAGCCTTAAGCACTTCATCATCAATTAAAAATTGCCCAGTAAAGGTTTTGGAATCCTTTAAAAGAACGGCGTAAGTCGCATCAGCCATTATATCTGGCTTTCTTGAATGTGAAGCTGATCCCTTGCCAGTCAGCATCTCAATAGCAGCAGTAAGAATAGCTGAAAACAATTTTTAATTAACTAACAAAACACTATGCTCCTTATATATTAATTTAATCTAAATGTTGTCAAAGAAAACAATCACAACCATCTTTGAAATACTATAATATAATGGTGGGGTCAGTCTGTGAGTCCACCAACACATGTTGAACTGGCGCTGGGTCAGTTACTATTGTCTAAGCTCATGGGTTTTTGATGTTACTCTATTGCTTTTCTGGTTCTGCAACTTTGTTGGAAAAGGGATCTTCACTGAAGATGGCACAGAAACGCATTTCAGCCCCTCTACAAAATAGCCCACAAGAGTGGTCACCATCAATGGTCCCTGGGCTATCTACCTTCATCCACCGGTCAACAATGGGCAGAGATAGGCTTGAGGAATGGCTTTGAAAGTGATGTTTCTCCCACAACAAAGAGAGCAAGCCTGCACCAACAAGGTGCGCAGTAGGTTCCCAGCCAGTGTGACCAACATAGTTGCCTATGTCAGCGTTGGATAGACATTGATGGCCCATGAAATGACTGAAAACCAATGGTGGCCACTATAGTGACCGTGGTATAGAGAGGTCATTAGAGTAATTAATACCTCCCCCACAAATATATATAGACTCAGTAAGTGATGTAGTACCAGATTTAAAATGGAAGTGTTGATTTGGCATAATGAAATAATAAACAATTAGTTTATGTATATTATATGACTTCCTGGCATTTGATATTTACCAGTTCTCGGCCAAAGGGCATTGACTGCAATACCGTCCTCTTTGAATTCTTCAGCCATACCCAAAACGCACATTGACATGCCGTATTTTGCCATTGTGTATGCAACATGGCTCTTGAACCAGAAAGGATTCATGCTGAGAGGAGGGCTGATGTTCACGATGTGTGGGTTTTTCCCCTTTTTCAGATATGGCAAGCATACCTTAGATCTGAAAAAAAAAAAAAAAAATGCAGCAGCCTTCTCTTGAAATAGTTTAATTTGAATTATTGGTCCTGAAAGTTGTAATATTTCAATATTTCTTCGTTAACAATAAAGTAATGTAGGAAAATGTTCCCTCATGTTTGTTGGTATTTAAGCAGAAAATTAGTTTTTTTACGAGTTAATCAACTATGCTTCCATCTCAAGCATTACACATTAATAATAATTTACTAGTTTTCGTGGTCCGCTTGACCAATTAATATCTGTATTAATAGTAATCCATAACATTTTTTACAAGTCATTGATATGATATAGCAAAGTTCAAAAAATATTTATCTCAAGTTTTTTTTTTCTTTAAGTGGTTTAAGGCATTGCTTATTTAAACAAAGTCATTCATATTTAATTAAATTAAAAGCCATTATTTAAACTCTCACTTTGTTCGTTTTGCTAAATAAATATGCTTTTTTCAACAAGTAAGCTTAATTTTTCCATGGAAATATTCTAGAATGTAGCAAAATATGGACAATTTTTTTTTATCATACTTACACGAGAAAAGTCCCTCTGGTGTTAATGTTATGCATCAAATCGTATTTTTTCATGTCAGTGTCAAGGGTGCCTGTGAGCGAGATGGCACTGGCATTATTTATAAGGATATCGATCCCTCCAAACTTTTTTACTGCGTTCTCAACAGCCTCCTGGACTTGCTTCTCATCCCGAACGTCAACGATACATGGAAGGGCCTTCCCACCAGCATTCTCGACTGGAAAAAATGTAGATTTGGTGTACTATTATAGTAAATTGGAAAAACATCACAATATTGAAAATAATTTTAAGGGGGTGGGAAATGTATTCAGGTTTGTTACAGGTCATGGGTTCGATTTCCTATTGACACTAGAAATTTTCGTATCCTCATTCACAACAGCTCAAAACTAAATTAATGAAGTGATATGAATGACTTTTTTATATATAATTTATTTTTAGCTTGTGCTCATCTATGGGCAGATATATACACTATATATCTATTTAGAAACATAGTGTTTTTAACTATGTTAACTAAAACATAATATTTTTGTTTTCTTGGTAACAACTTACTCTATGGCCAGCACTGTACCCACAGAACGCAAAATAAGGAGGTTGAGAGGCCATCGTTGTTTAAGGCAACATGGTGGGTTCTTGGGTTGGGAAAATGTAGATCTTGGGCAGAAGAGTTAGGATGGACTGGGAGCATGGTGAAATGGGATCGGATCAGTTTGTTGACAAAAGGAATGTAGGGGGTCATGAATAATGAGGTTAGTGACTTAATAAGGAGCTTAGGACATGCTGGATACTAGGCGGTTTGACAGAACCCGACAATTTCACTCCATATGTTCAAAGTGATTGCAGCAATGTCTTATGTAATGTTTGACGGTTAAAGGAAAGTTTGGAATTATAAGTCTTATAGTTGTCCAAGTTGTCTGTTAAGTTGTTGACTCGTATGTTTTGCAGATTCCATGTGTCTGTCTAGGTGTAGTCTAAGTATATGATTGAGTGGAATTCAATAGTATCTTGTTAATGTACATTGTAGAGGCAAGATTACTTTATCAATTTAAATACATTCAGGGTACATTTTTCCAAATTAAATCTTGTTCTCCAATTTTTTCACTAGTCTTTGATGAACTCAAGGTGGTCTTGGACGTCAGTGGTTTCTCTGATATAATTCAGCTTAATAAAACAGAATTGTAGTCGTTTTGGTGGTAATGATGTTGGGATGTATAGGAAAGTCAGCAATGTTGGGAGGACACAGGATGGGACTGAGAATGTTTCTTGTGGGACGTCGGCTCGTATTAGTCTGATTTCTGAATGATAATGAAAGCTTAAAGGAATTTTTTTTAAAATTGTGATTTTCATTAATCAAATATGAGCTTTTTATTTAGGCAATTACAAAATTAAAACACACACGGAAATCTCTTTAAAAGTACCTAACAGTGTTTAAAAACGATACTTTATTTTTTTGGGAAATTTAAGTTTGTGTCACATTAAAATATTGCAGATTAAAAAAAAAGGAAGCACAATTTACAAAATCTGGCAATAAGTTTGAAAGGAAATGCCAGCCATTTTTCCCTTAATAAATACAAAACTACCCATTGATATCATTCACACTCAGTGAATGTGTTCTTGAACTACTTTAAAAGATTAGACATGCATTGTTATTCTTATCCCAAGGCTAAACTTTTTGAAAGTACCTATCAATGTTTAAAAAACGACACTTTTTTTTTAAACACAAGTAAACTTTTAAATTTGTCAATTCAACTATTAAAATAAAACACACAAGAGGCTTTGAATATTCAATTTAATAAGTTGAATTTCCTTACTTTCTTGGGCAGCGGTGAAGATGGTACCAGGGAGTTTAGGATGGGGCTCAGCCGTCTTGGCGGCGATGACAATATTGGCACCATCTTTGGCTGCTTTTAAGGCGATCGCCTTACCAATCCCCCTGCTCGCACCAGTTATGAAAAGGGTCCTTCCAGCAAGTTTCCTGAATTAAATTTGTTTTAAATATATTTTTTGCATGATTCTGATTAACACAGTTTATTAAATAGTATTTGTAATAAATAATTTATTGTAAAGCATTTTGAATACAAAAATAACTTTCATACCAACTTTCTCCTAGACTAATAAGGCTGGCCTGTTTATTCACTGAACAAATTAATGAGATATTTCTGGCCTTAATATTAATAGAAAGATTAAAATGTTAGGGTATTGAAATCCTAACAAAATTTACATATTAAACTTTGTTAAAAATGTATACCTAAACAACATTAAATGTAGTGAAATCAAATTCATGTAATTTATTGATTTTACACTACCTTTATAAAGTGGCACATGTAACAAGAATATTTTTTTAATGCAATGATACTCGAACAAAAAGTATAACACAATCTCAACCAGCGGTTAAAACGTTTAAACTAACATCTTTCAAGCTGTGATGATCTAGGTTGAATGAATTTGGTTGCCAAGGGTTATGAACAACCATGTAATGCTAAATATCAATTGAAACAATCAATTTGTACTTGGGTTAAATCGCCTTTCAGTGCTCAGTTACAAATCTATATATTTGGAGGCAATCTTCTACAAGAAATACGTAATATAAATGATGAAATTGAATGATGAATAGGTGGTTTCACTCTTACAATTCATCTTGACAAACATGTTTGAACTCCTTCAACCTGATGATGAGCATTTATTGCTTGAAAACCAGACCGTTGTAAACAACAAATCTGTAATTAGAATCATCATTTACAAAGAGATATACTATATGTTTCAACTTAATTTCACTTGATCTTGAATAAGGTGAATTTGAAAGAAAGAAAAACAGTTCCTTCAGACTTTGTAACTATTTATAATTATTTAAACAGATAACTTATATAAACATCTACTTACAATATTTAAAATGCTAGCTTCAATAACAGATTTATGAGTTTGGCTCAATAGTATGGATGAGATCTACCACTCATCCATTCTACATTACAATTGTCCTTTCTGATATATATGTATAATTAAATTGATCAAATAAAGCAATTTCTGTCAAAAAAAAAGTTTTACACATTATTAAAAATAAAACAACACTGAACAAAGAAAAATTCATGGGCAATTAAAAAAAATAAATTAAACACAACTATGTGAGTAAGCTGCCCTCTCTTTATTTATTGCTAAGCAATAATGAATATTTTTTAAAAACAGAAATTTGAAAGTGTATGAGAACAGTACTGAAGTTGAGAAAATGTCAGAATTCTCTTATTCTGACTACTATTTCATATAACAGACAATTGTAAGTTTATGACATAACAACACTTGTCCCATACAAGATACATTGTATATATTCCTTTTTATGGCTGTCTAATATGATAAATTCCGTTAAAATTGTCACCTTTCTCAGTATATATTTCAAGAAGTAACTGTTAGTTTTATAAAGTTTTAATTGCGAAATTTTTACTTGAGGTCTGGGTAACGAACCATGTAGTTTGGCGGTTTCCAACCATCCTGGTATGTCAATCCTCAGTGTTTTATCTGTATATTATTTCATCCATCGCATCCTTTCAAATGAGGAAGCCAACCACTGAAGATCAAGAAATACAGTAGACTCTAGTTATCCCCGATTTCACTCATCCCTAACCATTTTCTTATTGTAAAAACAAGCAAAAAAACTGAAATATGTGTAGATAAGTTCAAGCTGATAGATAAATGATACAGAAAGTGTCTAATTGGTACGCAGATAGAACAAAATGCTTCAAATCCTGAAATTCCTATCCATGGTGATGCTTGGTACATATCCCCACAGAGGGTCTGCTGTAGAGAAACGCTTCTTGAGAGACTGAAACAGCCTGGGACGATCCAAAATGACCAATAGATTTTGACAGAAATTTTTTACACACGTTTTGATGACTGAAGTTTGTGAAATTTGAAGGTATGCAAAGCATTGAAGTGTAGCAGACGGCCGAGGGAGGAAGTCGAAGAACCTAGGCCATCTACTACTCTTCAACTCTTCGCATACCTTCTAATTTTACACTTTAATCTTCAAAACTTATATAACTAAATCGTTCTTGATCATCTGTAGCTTTACATTGCAATACAAACTATGATGCCAGTTAAGAATTTTTCATATAAGTTGATCAATACTAAGATTTGAATTTGGAGACTAGTCGGAACTACTTTTATCGGTGTTGGACTAGTCAGGTCTGTACTGAACCATTGATGAACTTTAACACAATATTTTTGATTAAAGATGATTGATATTCATACTTTGTGAAGTGATTATTACTGGTCATGAAAAAAATTGATATTTTATAATTTTGACATACTTTCTTCGGTAGTGATGGACGTGTTATAGTGCAATTCTAAAATAGAATTATTTTGTCAAAGAATCCAACAAACATATAAATTAATTGTAAAATATAGCATAGGATGACAGTTGTATGAAATCCAATATTTATTTTTTGGTGAGAAATCAGTCATCATTACTGAAAGTGGTTCGTCGTTCCATTGTTTTATGGAAGATTTGGCTCGGACATATATTTTATTCCAAAACGCTAACGTGGTTCACATTGAAAGTAAACAATTACACGTAATTTGAGTTGATTTAGGCCCGATTGTCTGTACTCACCCGGTGTTGATCATATTTTTCCGATGTTGGAACCAGTTGGAGGAATATGCTTATGTCAAAACCTTCGAGGCACCGAAGAAGACGAACTCGAGCTAAAACCCAGTCATGCCACAGTGGAAATATGCTAGATTTTCTGTCTATTTGCTTTTCAAATGGATCCGATGCCAAAACGACAAGTGCCAAGAAATGTCTTGTAATCCTGGGAGATAGCGAGACGATTTATTTGTTGTATCGATGTTGATATCCCCGCCACTCAGTCCATACCCAACCATCATTTTGCCCGCTTTACAAATGTCCAAGTGGTTCATTTTGAAATTGAATTTCACTCGACTATCATACCATTTGTGCAATGAAAATAATCTTATTTTTGCCACTGTGGACAAGACAATGAACAACTGGCATCGGAATGATTGTTGGGTATCCATTGACATAGTGACCTTCATTCAGGTCACCCAATTACAAAATGAAATTTTTGATAATTTATTACACTTATAGCTTTGTACTTATAAGATAAATGTGTGATTTCATAAATCTATTAATCTCCTTGAGATCTATGGGGCACCGCTAAACATTCCAACATCCACAAAACACATTCATTTGAATCCAAATTCCTCAGAACCATCATCGTTCCCTACTACATTTCCAACAATATCCTTTGTTGAAAACCTAATCCCAACAAATTTTCCACATACCATGACAAATTATCCTCTCATCTAAACCCATAAGCCTGATGTATGTCCAACATTAAACTAATTAACAATCAAAGGATAAGGATAAAAGAGGTGGCCACTAGGCTCACTGGTCAGCTTCAGTTTGTTCATCAACATTCATAGCCTTGCCAAAGACTCTTTAGTGTAGGATCCTGCTTGTGGCTTTTCTCTTCCACTCCAAATTTATCATTCCTAAAAACCTCAACATTCCTTTTGTCAACGAGCTGGTCCAATCCCTCTTTCAAAAAGTTCTAAAGCAAGCTCTCGGATCCATCCTAACATACTGCCCAAGACATGTATACTATCCCATCTCCAGAAACTGCCACTTTGTCTTAAACGACAATGATCCAGATACCTCCTCGTTCCTTAATCCATCATATTGAGTGCCTGGGGGGGGGGGGGTTTAACTGGTTTCCAGTCATATTGTCATGACTAGGGATAGGGATAAAAGAGGTGTCCATAAGGCCTTCTGCACCTCGATCGACCTGATTAGATCTATTGTGCTTCTTTTTTTCCCCACTCACTGGCCAGCTTCAGGTTGTTAATCAACTTCCATAGCCTTGCCAGTGACTCGTTAGTGTAGGATCTTGCTTGCGGTGTTTCTCCTGGTTACAAGAACCTACACGTAAAAAGACTTTCACAAAAAAATAAAATGTGTTCTTCAGTCTCTTCTTCCTGGCAATATATGCAGTTTCTTCTGTCTGTACTCCTATAAGGTGCATGTGCTTTCTTAGGTGGCAGTGCTCTGTCAGAAGTTCAACCAGAATCCTGGTTTGGTTGTAGTTGCCTTCCAGTGTTTTGCATATGCCCTTCTATTTCTTTGCCTGTTTTTCTGTGCCTCACACTTTGGGTATTGTTCCACAAGGTTTTGAACTCATTAAGGATCCGTTTTTGTATCCACTTTTAAGGCTCGATGTTGGCCACTGTAGGGTTCAGGGCCTAGAGAGTCCATGTTAGCTCCCTATTTCACTGCCTCCATGCCCCGAATGCCAATTTAAAATTATAGAAAAATAGAATATTTTCATTTTTATGGTATGTTATTGATATCTCAGGCTACTAGGAAAATTTATAATTTGAATAAAGTGATGTGCTTTAGGAGAAAGCATCATCTGTATGCTTCCAGTGTTCAATATCCAGTAATGTGGATGTGCAATTATTCTAGTACTAGATTAGTATATTTGCCATTAGTTTCTGTGATGGTCCTTTGATGAACTTTTTCGCATGCCTTTGTCCTTCTTCCTATTGATTGGAGGGACCTGATTAATCCACGTTTTTGGCACTTAGGTACAAAAGGGTTCAGAGCAAATAGGGGTCCTCATCAAACTTTCCTTGTCCAATTCATTAGCCTCTTTTTTGCCACTCTGCCCTGTTACCTAGACAAGTGTAATTTTGTTGTTTTCCAATTAAAAGGTGAAAAAATTCCTACCATCTTGAAGATATACTTTACATGCATAATATCAATTTTGCACCATCACGTTATATTTTCTGATTTGCCAGGAAGTTCTATATTCTATTTTTGTCTAGAGTCTACCAACCGATATGAGTGATTTGTTTCTTGGTTAGGCACAGTATAGGACCATCTTGGCTGTTTACAATTCAACTTTTATTTCACTGCATATAAAATCCATATTCATAACAATCCAGCAAAAAATCTTTACTTATCTCTTCTTTCTGTTAAGAAATTATTTTAAAAAAAGGTTACATTAAGAAAAAAAATTGAGAGACAGCCTGATTTCCATTAGATTCAATCGATTGAAATGAATTCAATTAGTCGAGCACAAATTTTTGTTAACTTGTGTAAAATATCAAACATCCATCATACTAAAAAACAAATGAGAGTGCAACATACAAAAAAATAATGTGGTGGTTAGGTTATTTTATTGAAAACAATAGAATGTACAAAACGTGTTATCACAGGCAGAATATCATCGAATAGAAAGTAAAAAGTAAATTTTATTAAGATTTGGCACAAATGAGATGAATTTTACATTTATGTATATATTATATTACAAGGACATTAAAAAAAGACACAATACTTTTAGTAAAGTTAAGTAATCATTCTTTCTTTTTTCCCCACCCAAAACTTAATTTCCCATGTAGGGAATCGCTTAGTTGTCGATAAATCATTAATAACAATAGAGGAATGACCAGCTTCGGGTCATGGAAGATGTATAACCAGCAGGCTATTAGAAATAAAAAAAGATCAAGCATATAAGAGAGTAATAAATTCTTCTTTCTTGGCACTTGAACTAGATTCAATTCGTTTTCATTTGGTACTTCTTTCTCTTCTGCTTTTTCTTTTTTCTCTGCTTCTTCTTTTTGTTTCTTTTGTTCTTGTATAGTTTGTTTTTCCATTTTATCAAAAATGGCCGGAGTGCTCATTTCTTCTTGTATTTTATCTGCCGCTGCCTTCAGTTCTTCGTAACTAAGATATAATTTAGGCACAGGTTTTTTAGGATGGCCAAACTCCCTGACAATATCACTGTAGTGACTTACAACCACCTTCGTATCATCCTGATCCTCGAAGTTCTGACTTTTGACTTGCCTACGTCTATTTCTAGCAACCTCGCCAGCATGAAGACCGATGTCGTTCTCTTCTGTAGCAAATCTGTCTATGTTCTGTTTGTCTTGTGGTACTTCTATCCTAACTTTTTTCGAATGGCCAAGTTCTGAATCGCTGAGCTCAGACCTGTCAAGCGACTGGTCTCTTACTTTCAATATTGGTTTTGGCAGTTTGGAAAGCGGGTGCTGGGTTGTTTCAACTGGTGCTTTAGGAGATGGTGACCTCTTTCTCAGAACGACTGGCTCTGTTAAAGTGTTTGGCGTAGTGGGTTGTGGCATTGCAATTAAAATTTTTGGAGGATTGATTTGTTGAGGTGAAGGTGTTCTGCTGCGCACATCTCTAATGTGCCTTTGTTCTAGTTCATTCTCAGGAGGCATTGTGTATCTATGTTTAGGTGAAAGCGATCTCTCTCTTGACTCATCTTCTAATTTATAAGGCATGGAATATCTTTGTTTAGGTGATGGTGATCTTTCTTTCCTTTCTCGAGAGCGATCCTTAACAACCTTTGGTGAAGGCGACCTTTGTATTTCATTTGTTTCTATCTTCTTTTTAGGAGAAGGTGATCCCATAGCACTTATAATTTCTTGTTTCTCTGTTTTGACTTCATCATTTACATTTTGTGGATGGTCGTTTAAAGTTATTGCTGGAACTGGTCCAGGAGAGGGTGATTTTTTATCGTTTGGAATTACAATTGGTGAAAGGTTACCTTGAAATTTTGATCTTACTTCTTCACTTTTGGGCATATCAATTGTAATAGGTGTAAAAGTTCCTTTTCCAAGCCTCGGATGGTAAGGTTCTTCTTCAACCTCATCTTCTGTGTAATCAAATGATCTTCCCATGCTATCCAAATCTGAGATAGGTCCTTCTTCAATTTCATATTTGGAAGTGTAATCTTGAAAGCTTTTTTCAAGCATCATAAATCTTTCTGAAAACTGATCGTAATTTCTCTTTCCTCTTTCGTCATCAATATCGCTAGCGTTGGATATTTTACGAAGAGGAGAGGCATCTCTTATTTCCGCCATGTTTTCTTGTTCTTGTATATTTTCCAATGAGGTCGTTTTCTCCTTTAACTCAGACAGAATTTCCTCTCTTGTTTTTGAGTGTCTCTTCTGCTCAAAGCTGCGCTTTCTCTCAACGCCGTATCGTCTTTTGACCTTTGATTCAATCTCTTCCTCGTCAACTTCTTTGTTAAAACGTGCCAGAGTCAATTCATACATCAAATCTGAAGAACTGCCCCAGGGTCTCAAGCTGTGGGAAGAAATAGGATCACAAACTCCTATTACAGGTGCTGACAGTGACATAGGGGGTGCAACGTATGTCCCATCTTTCAGCTCTTGAGCAGTCAACCTTGGCTCTAAATCTAAAGAAAAAATAAATAAATTGAATATTTTAATAAACATGAATCTGAGTTAGTGTACCTCTTTCTTCTGTTTCTGCTCTGCTATTCCCGACGAGAACCAGCATCATCTCAGAACTGCTGTGTAGATCATCTCCCGGGCTGAAACTTCTATTCCATTCAGGCTGGGATTCCTCTGAGATCTTGTGGATCCTCTTGGGCGCTTCGGGCTGTAAATGTGAAACATCTGTAAAATTACCAAACACAATATGATCTTAACGCGAACCTGGTTTGTTGGCCTGTGTTTCCTCTTTGGCGGTATTGGTGCTGGTTTAGGTGATGGCTCCCTCGGTGGCGACCCTTGACTATCCTCACTCCAGGTTCTCTTCGGTGCCATTTTAACTTTCCTCAAAACCTTTAATTATTGTTCAAGTTAAGCTTTTATTTCCGTAAAACTTGGGTATTTGACAAATACTATAATAAATACCACAAAGACAAAATGATGATGGAATTAAAACAAATAAAATGTTGAAAATATTGTAATATTTTAAACATCAATATAATATAAACACTGATACTATATGATATTAAAGATAATAACAATGCTTTAGTCATAAATTATCTTTACTTTTTTTCTGAGCAATGTACCAGGGAGAGACAATATAAACACAATATCATAAATAAAATATGATAACTTTAAAAATTATATTCTATAAATGATAGATAAATCAGCAATAAATTTATAAACTATAAAGTAAATACATAAATAATTGATATTGCCCTGCAATTTTATATTTGAGTGCATGTTTGATTTTAGAAATTTAAGTAGTTTCTACACAATTATTTTCCATCGTACCATAATCCAATATAATTCATCTTAATTTCTAACTTTATTGAATATTTTTAAAAACTTAAACGTTTTTTGTGTAGTGTTCTTTATGCACTGTTTTATTGAAAATTACCTGGTTGGCTAATATAACTGGGGAAGGAAGAAGACTTTCATCTTCATCCCATTCAAAGTCTTGAATTTTCCGTGGCATTGTCACTTGAGGATTTTTCTCAATCTGAGATTTTCTTGTTTTAAGCCATTGGTCAGGCATATCATCAACATGGGCCTTAGTACCCTTAGGCGGCGGCTCCAACAATCTTACAATAGAAAAGATTTAAATTATAATTTTATCTATTTAAATATTAAAACCACTTACCCTCTTTTAGGGTCGGGGATAAAGACTGTATCGGAATCAGGGCTCGGATCGCTGATTCCGTAAGGATTCTCTGCTTTGACTCGAAATTTATATTCAGATCCTTCAATTAGATCACCTATTGTCGTTGTCAATTGTCGGCAAGTCGCAGCTTTCAACCACATATTCCAGCCAATCTGGGAATTTCATTTATAAGTTAAAAATAAATGTTTTAAAATAGACAAATGCTTTATTAGAAAAATTCACACCTACTCTGTAGTATTCAACGATGTAGTTTCCGATTTTACATCCTCCGTCATCATGAGGGGCAGTCCAAGCCAGGGTCACACAACGACCGAGAGTCATGACAACATTGACTTTCCCAGGAGGTAGTGGTCGGTCTAAAACAAATCTTATATTATTATCTGAAATCTAAAGCAATATTTGAAAATAAATTTTTACAAAACCTGTTATTGTGACTAGAAAAGAAGCGATGTCATCTCCAATTTTGTTTTTAGCTTTGACTTGATATTCCCCTCTGTCTTCTCTTGTTGCTTCAGTGACTCTCAGCATAGCATATCGATCGGTAGTCGCAAGATCTAGCCTCGAGCTGGTTTTGACTTCTTCACCATTGTGCAACCATGTGACAGATGGGAGCGGCCTTCCAGTGACGAGCACCTTGAGCCGCATCATCTCCCCCAACTCAAAAAGCAGTCCATCTTCGTATTGTCGAGGAAGCCGGATTGATGGGGGTGCTGCAACATTGTTAGATTATTTTATGTTCATTTCAAAAAGGGTTATTGTATTGTATTCCTTGAGCCAGTGGATTACAAATACTTAAATCTGATGGTTGTTAATTTTGCAAATAATCTATATTGCAGTTTTTTTTTGTTTGAATTATTACGGCAACCCTGGATTACCATGTTTTACATGCAGTGATTACCTTCGAGTGTGAGCCTAGCTTTGGTAACTGCATGTCCTGCTTTGTTAGTAGCTGAACATTTTATCTCTCCCTCATCGCTTAGAGCAGCTTGATGGATGATAAAACTACTAATGTCACAGTCTGTCGAAACTTTCTGTCTTCTGTTGCTGAAAACTTCAAAACCATCTTTATACCACGATATCTTAGGAAGCGGTGTCCCTTCGACCCTTACAAGGAATTCCACCTGGAAATTTAAAAAGAAAATTAACATCGGCTGCGCTTACAATTAAACAAATTTCTTACCATTTCATTTTCAATTGCTACAATGTCATTCAAACTCCGAGAAAACACCGGTGCGATGGACACTCCAGACCTTCCGTAAGATATGGCAAGTGGTTCGGAGAGCTCACTGTGGTCCGATCGGCCGAAAGCGTTTTCTGCCCAGACCCGGAATTGGTACCTCATCCCCGGCTCAAGGCCGCTCAGGCTCAACTGAGTGTGCCGCACCATCAAAGGTGTGGCTTTTACCCAGTGAGGCGACCCTGTTCGCTTGTGTTCTACGAGGTAACCTTACAAAAAACAAAGTTACAAAGTTAAATTAATTTTATGCCTACGTTTTTTGACGTAGAATCACAAAAATATGTAAGAAGGTATTTTTCTGATAGTTCAAGGACCTAAACTGTCAGTTAATTGTTTGTGGAAAATTTGAAACTTTTTTATCGAAATAGATAAGTTGAGCTTTAGATGTATCGCTAAGGGTTGTTCAACATTTGGCACACTTTTTTGAACTAAGTTATGGATATCTAGACAAAAATGTCCAAAGTTAGATTGAAATTTCTAAAAATAAAATCAATCTCTTTTTTCCAGTGGTCAATTTATTATTAATAATATTTTGTAGCTTGATCATCCCTGATCACCCAAGCAAGCATATTGCCAATGACTTTGTCTATTCGGTGTACTTTGATGCTTCACCTCTGTTGGTTTAGAAGTGGTCAAATTGGAATAGCTTTAATATCCCTATGTACAAAGAGGACAAACACACTAGAAAAAAACACAAAAACTAAAGATGGAAAATTACTAAGCTAGTATGAATATAATTGAATTGAATAATGAATGTAATACAACAATCAGAACCAAAGTCCAGAAACTTACAAAACGCACAATTGACAATATAGCTCATAGGCTAAGCATTGAAGCTGGAAAAATGAATCTGACAGACAAAACCATGACCAGAAATGACCAAATACAATTTTTATTATTAAATATTATTATTTTAAATATTATCATTCCACTAAAATCTCTTATTAGGGGGCCGCGGTAGCCGAGTGGTTAAGGCGTCAGACTCTCGGCTAGTAGATCCCGCGGTCGTGGGTTCGATCCCCACCGTCGCCTCTGGACTCTTTCTGACGCCTAAGGGGACCGGTGGCCGCAATTGAAAGAAATTGACACGGCACTCATCAATGGAAGGGGCGGGATCGGATCTCAGCGACCCAGAATTTGGTCCCAACCCCCTTCAAAAATGAGTTTCTTCGATGGAAGAACACCGGTACAACGGGGACTCAAGTTCACATTTGTGTTGCGAGCCCTCCCCCAAAATATGGAGCCGGGGATAAAGTACAATAAGCTGTACAGCTCAGCTGCAGTACTCAGGAGGGAACTCCTCCAGTCCCTGGTATCCATTGAAAAAAAAAAAATCTCTTAGGTCTAATTTCTTTATGTAATTCTCAAAGAAACTTCACTGGATTGAGAAGAGGTGTTAGTTCCCAACAAATTCTATTTTCTTCACTTAATTTGACTGACTGTCCAATCACTTTTTGCAGGCAGGAATCGAGGAAAATAATAAACTTCATAAAAGCCATTGCCTATTTAATAGCCTACTAGGTTTAAAAAAAAGGAGAAACTGAGACAGAAACTTGCCAACTCTACCATGAAAGAGCAAAGAATAGAACATGTCTTATGTGACTGCAAAGCATTACCGTAGAAACAGTTCAGCCAGAAAATATGAGATGAACCCTAGAAAGTGTTCAAATACATTAAAAATAGCGAACTTGCTAGGGTATGAATATAAAAAAGGGTCTATTCTGCAATAGATGTTTCAGGTAACAGTGGAAGAAAAGGAGGCCCCAGAGGAAAATCAAACTGATTCCAGCTTGTTTAGATATTTCTCCGAGTTAAGTTGCTGACAGTAAAGAGGGTATATATCTGAATTTTTTAAACAGGCAGACAAAGACGACATTAGCACTTAAAGTAATAAGTGAAGAGAAACCTCGGAAAGAATAAACTACCATATGGGTATTATCGGAAACTCCCTCCAGTTAAAAATCTTTCGCATGATTCATAACCAACAAATTCGTAACCATACTTTCTACTCAGACCTCCGAATTCAAATACCACTCTAAATAATCTCTTTATGCCAATCCCTCATCTAGATGAGACATAGATGAAAAAGAAATCTGAAGGACAACAGCTAACACTTCCTCAGTCTATTGATTTTCCAAATTCTTCTTTGAATCTTCACTCTTGTTGGAGGCAGTAGTCCGTCATTCTTGTAAGAGAACCAAGGAAAATTGGCATCATATAGTTGGGGTGGTTTCATGTAATATTTGTTCTTTTTTCCTTGTCATCCTTGTTCCATGTTCCTTGTTGTGAGTTTCTCTTGTAAGTTTTTGAAGGCATTGCACCCTCTGCGGTTCGCAGGGTGATATCTCCACAATTTGTGCATGTAACTCTCTACTTTTTCCACTTTTATTTGTTGATCCGCACATCGAACGCACTGATGCGGATATCTACAATAGGTTTTGGTGTGCCTGACTTATAAACTATAACTAATTATAACTATAAACTTACTAGCTTTATAACCCGGCATTGCCCAGGGAGATAATAAAAAGTGTTATTTCTCTTTTTTGTAAATCCTGACGCTCATTATTTGTTATAAGCTCATTTTATAGTCTCCAAAACCCGCCCGGCACTAATAAAAACAAAGTGTGAAAATTTCATTGAAACCCCTTTTATATATTTATATACATATCACTTTATTTTTATATATAGGTATACTAAACCATAACGATCGAAATGTCAGGTTGGTCTAGCCTACACTCTGCCCCTTATTTTAAAGAAGCATTAATTTATATAAAACGACTTTATTGATTCTTACGTGTTTTTTTGTTCCTATTTCTTCCAGCTAGTAAGGATATTATTATTTGCTTAAATAATAAAATTCCAGTGTATAACATGAAACAATGGAGGGAATAAAGGAGTCCAAATTTCTTTCTTTTAGCGAAATTTTGAAAATTATTTTCTATAGATAATTTCAATAAAAGATAAATTCTTAGTTACTATTATCTGATCCAGTGTCCAGATAACAGTAGATGCTTGTGCAAATAAATAAAATATTTAATCAGACAATGCTGTTAGGAATATTGCGTTGATCCCGGGCGTTTGTGCGTCGTGTTTCGCTTTGTTTTCACAGTTTTCCCAAATCTAAAGTTTTTTTAAAGTTAGTTATTATTATTTGATCATTCAGTTATAGTCAACTTATCTCATACTATTTATTTTTTCTTTGATACGTGAAGACACAGCTGTTGACCTTCGGCGAGCCCCTTTTATCTTTAATCCTGATACTATCTACGCACATGACTCATCTTATATCATCAATAGACCTTTTTAATCAAGAAACCGAAATTTTTTGCATTTTATAACATTTAATGACCAATTTTCTAATAAAAATACTCTTCCAAATGTTGGTGACTCGATGGTCATGTAACGATTTTTGATAATTTGTCCAATTTAATCTCAAATACGCTTACATCGTTAAATATTTATGTTACAATTTTATCATTTAAATTTAAACCTGTTATTTTTGATCCTCCGTTGAAAATTGGCTGTTCCCATCTTATAGTTACAACATCCGGGTCCGACGGCGTTCCTGGTATCAGATACGGCTTTCCAGGGGGAGAGGGCTTTTCTGAAATTTTAAAAGGCAAAATTATTAAATTTACAAAAAAAATAGTACCTGTAATTTGGTCGTTAACGATCATTTAAGCCTGCCTATCCATCCTTTCCACATTTTGCGACCTAATGTTGGATCTGTGTCTAGCTTCATTTTTTATAAAGGTCACGAGATTAACTACAATGCTAGACATAATAAATTATAACTGACTTTTTGGAAATGGTGAAATGCGGTCTGGTGTGACGTAGGTTTTAGAAAAACATTTTCTTTATTGTGAAAATGTTTTTCTAAAACCTACATCACACCAGACCGCATTTCACGATTTCCAAATAATCATTAACTAACGGTCATTGAACACCACACATAAATTATAACATTTCCTCATGACAGACTCAGCACTGAAGATGTCGAGAGGCGTGTGTGAGCGAGGATAGTCAGACTTGGATGATCGGTAACGACTAACTTACAAATACATAAATTTACTTTAGCTTTTAAAACACACGGTAATGAATCGAATATTGATTCCCCGTTATTTCCTAGTTGTTGCAAAATAGAAAATTATTTAGTTGTTAAAAGTACTCTTCTACCTGATTTTTTATCGGCTTTTAAGCACAGACGATAGAATCAATAGACCATGTTCAAAAGCTTATTACAATGTTAATTAAAAAAAATCAAATTAATGCATTATTAACTTTCCAAATTCATAGTTTTACACGTTATCCAGTTTACACACCGTCGGTTTTTCTGTTTTCTGATAACATTTTGAGGGTATCATGTTATGATTTTAAAACTTTCTCTTTCTCCCACTATCTCTCTTTTATTCGTTAGTTCTTTTCTCTGCCTTTCATGTCTCTATTTTTTATTTATCCATCTCTATCTTTTTAAATATTTTATTTTCCACACAAACCCACGTTATTTCACCCAATTTTCATATATATATATTTTTCTACCTTCAATTCATAATTCCTATCTCCTTAATAATACATTTATCTTTCTTATAAATTTTTTTGTCAAATATTCTCTCTCTCTCTCTCTCTCTCTCTCTCTCTCTCTCTCTCTCACCCACCTCCTCTTCCTCCCTCATTTAGCTTAAATTTTTTATTCTAATTTAAATGATTACGTATTATGTATTATTTTAAAATTTTTGAATTTTCTCTTGACCTCTCTTTCTCATTTTATTTCTCTCCGTATATCTCAAAATTTTTCTCTCCTTTTATTCTTTCATGCTCTCTTCATACATCTATTTTCATTTCTCTACCTATCTCACTCGCTCTCTCTCTCTCTCTCTCTCTCTCTCTCTCTCTCTCTCTCTCTCTCCCCCCCTCACTTGTACTCTATTATTCCTCCCCTTGAAGCTGTAAACCAACAACTATAACTCCCTTATATTATATCATGAATAACTTAGATGTTATATAACGTATTTTGCTCAAAAAGAGAAGTCGTTCATCCGTAAGCTGAAAATCGTGTTGTTTTAAAAAATGGAAGCATTAAAACAATTACCGCAACCCAATTTTATCTCAACACTTCAGAGAAAAAAGATTAAACCATTAGTAATTTGTAAGAATACATTTTTGAAGAGTTTGTGTCGAAGTTGGCACGATACGATTCTTTTCATTACTAAAACGCACATCTCCAAATCTCATTTATTTAATATCTCACTGTTTAAATGAATAAGCAATTGGTGAAATTTATTTAAGGGAAGAGTGCGAGTATATGAGATAAATAATTTTATAGTCCCTGGATAATGATGAGGTCGAATGGAATTTAAATGATCCACGGCTTTAAGATAATGACTATAAAAATAAAAATAACTTTGCTTTATCATTGTTAATCAAGTAGTGAAGCAACCCTGTTTGATAAGTACATTTTATACAGTAATTATTATTAATTAAATTAAACAGTGGAGGATTTTCATAATAAATAATCAACACTTAATAATCGTGATTATTCGAAATCAGTTTTATTTTTAATTTTAGAAGTTCAAAAAACAGGTTATTAAGTGTGAGATATTTTATTTTAATAAATACTGTTTTTATTAACACAAAATCGACTTTTTGTCACTGTGTTGATAGTAGAGTTCATGAGGTTCAGACTTTAGATAACACAAATAAAAAAAAGTGGAATTTTCACTAATTGGGCAAAATTTTTAATATACGATCTTTTAATTATCACTTTTTTAGTGCTAAATAAATTAGCACTCGGTGGTGGAAAACTACAAAAACACACAATGCTATGAGGTTCATTGGCCAAGTAGTTTTCTACTGCAAAGTACATGAAACCCCACCAAATTTGATAAGTTTTCAGCATTTGTTTTTCGTAGCTATTACATCTTATTGACTGTTTATTGCTTCTGTAAAAGTTTAACAAAGAGATTGAGCTTTAGATTTATTGTTTTTCATCATTTGGCATTGATTTTTGGAGCTAAGTTATGGATATCAAAAGTATCAACGGTTAGATTAAAATGTTCAAAACAAATACAACCTTTCCAGTAATCAATTTATTATTAATATTATTTTGTAACTTGTTCATCATTGATAATCCAAATAGACCCACTGATTTTGTCTCTGGTGTTGTCACTTTGTCTTTCTCAGTTGGCCTGCAGTCTAGTAGTGGTCAAGGCGGAAATAGCTATAACATCCCTATGTACAAAGATAAGGACTACAATAACAAATAAAATAAAGACATGACTTCACCCTGGGGTGAAATGTCTTGGAAAACAAAGAAATTTCTCAATAGCACAACCAGGATAACAAAAATCTATCTTTCTCTCAACAGGAATTAAGGTTAATAACCATTTAATCATCACCTTAAAAAAGAAGGAAAAACTGAGACAGAACTTGCCGACTCGGCTTTGAAACAGCAGAGACCGAACATGTCTCATGTGACTGCAAAGCATCAGCCCAGAAACATTACAGCCGGGGATTAAGAGAAGAAGAACCCTAGAAAGTGTTCAAATACCATAAAAGTAGTGCACCTTTTAGAGTATGGATATAAACAAAGATCAATTCCACAATACATTTGTTAGGTCACAATGGAAGAAAAGGATGCCCTAGAGGAAAACACAGAAAACAAAGAAGATACTAAGGCATAGAGATATAAGCGAAGAGGAACCTGGGATAGTGCTAAATTACATTAAGGGTAGTGCATTTTTCGAGGTATAATAAAAAAGGGTTAATAAAGAAGGGATAGTTCCAACCTTTCAGGTTGCAGAGGAAGAAAGGGGAGGGAGACCTTAGATTCACCAATGACCCCCCCAAAAAAAAAAAAAAAAACTATTATAGAATGTCAATGATTGTGACTAAACTACAGGTACAAAACAAGTAAAAACCTGGTAGACATACATTCAAGATCACAACAAAAACCCACTTAACACAGCTGTTCTAGTGTCAAAATGGACTACAGGACTGGAACTATCGACAACTAACATCAAAATCTTCCAGATAAAAATCCTCCACATCATTCGTTGTTTGTTCTCCAGTTAGAACACTGAATTTCAAGATATTTTAAATTCCAATCTAAATATTCTCTGCATTGTAATCCCTTATCCATGGTTCTTTAATTTCAGGAGTTTGAGGTGCCAACTGCGCATAAAGCAACCTATCAGGTCATGACATGCAGTAAGTGGCAGGTCATTCACTTTAGCTGTTTCATTCTAATCTGTACTTTATACGGGGATTTACTCTGTTTTCGAATAATTTAAGTTGCTGTAGAAAGGGAAACTCTGATAAAATTGGGCTCATTGCCACGGCCGCCTCCTGATAATGAACCGGCGCACGCTCAAGGCGGTAGACAAGGAGGTCGACGGTTGTCAAACTAGCACCTGAAAATCCCGGCTTAGACAAAAGGGGTTTTAAAAATAAAATTAATCCATTTCTGATTTGGAACTGTTACAGCCGGGTCGATTCCATGCCAATTACTCTCAGCAGGACTTTGTTAAGGCTAATAATCAGTTCATTTATTTCATTAATTATGAATTTGTTTTCTGTATTATTTCAACTTAGATATTGGTCCTTTTTTTTTATTATCCGCCGGTATGAACAGAAAAATGTCAACGGAATATTACAACACCTGCGGAGTAAATTGTGACGAAACAAAGCACACTTTAACAACAAAACTTTATATACAATTATGTACCAATTTGTTTTGTTTGTGAATTTTTTATCTTGTAACCAAATGGTATAATTGGTTGTGTAGAATCGCAGATTCTTTTGTCGATTACACACGTCCAATGCATAAATCACTATCTAAGAATAAGGCGAATTCCGACTCGTGCCAAGTCTTTAGTCCAGGATTGGACATAATCGGCGACGATTTCTCGCCATTGACAATCCGTAAGGAGTCCGTCACGTGCACAAAGGGAAGATTGAAAACCCGATGAAAAACGCTATTCGCGCTAACGTCTAATTAATTGTTTCGTAAAAATATTGTCTTTAGTATACAAATCAAGGTTTGGTACGCCAACAATTTTTAGTTTTTTCCATCATGTCTGCAGTGTGATGAACCTCTAGTTTGGTCTTTTCATCGTTGTGGTGACGCGTCTGGCAGACCAAATATGGAAAAGCACTGAAATTTTTTGTTTAAAAACACTTTTTTCGACAAGAGTTCAACCAAATTAATTATTAGTCATAAAATAAATCCATTTTTGTTGCCCATTGTCAGAGGATTGACCTAATATCCTTTGCTTTCATATTTTCTACAAAATGATTAATATAGCATAAAAACAGATCTTTTATTCTTATTTCAACTTTATAGTTTCTAATTATTATTAATTCAATATAGCAATATACATTTTTTCGTCTGATTAAACTATTTAAATTTGGAATAAACATCTTTTTTACATCAAATTAACCCTTTCGTTAAAGCATTAAAAAAATTAGGAGATACTATGACATATAAGCATAAAAAGTAAAATTCCATTATATTTTCATTTTACCTTACATAATTAGGCTCTTAAAAACCACATAAAAATCAATTAAATTAAAATTAAAAATTAAGTAAAATGAAATATCAAAAATTGATTTTTCTATTAGTATCGAGATTTTTTTCAAATATAAATATTGTTAATTTTTTTCTCTAAAGAACAGTTTAATTTCAAGTTAGAAAGTGTTGTATAATATTATACAAAAGTTGGACTCTTAAAAACCATATACAAATTAATTAAATTAAAATTAAAAATTAAGTAAAATTAAACATCAAAAATTGATTTTTCTATTAGTATCGATTTTTTTCAAATATAAATATTATTATTTTTTTCTTTAAAGATCAGTTTAATTTCAAGTTAAAAAGGGTTAAATTAATTAAAAATTATGTAAAATTAAATATCAAAAATTGATTTTTCTGTTATTAATTCGAGATTTTTTTAAATGTAAATATTGTTTCTGATGTTAAAAAATGTTAATTTCAATTTAAAAAGTAATGATTTGAAATTCAAAAGGTTTAATTTGGAATTAAAAGATGTTAATTTGTAGTTAAAAAGGGTCAATTTGAAGTTAAAAATATTCATTTTGAGTTAAAAAAGAGTTAATTTGAAATTATTTTAAAAAATCTTTTTTCAATTATTTTTTACTCCAATTTAACCGTTTTTAATTTCAACTAAACGTTTCTAACGTGAAATGAACCATTTTTGCATCAAATTAACACATTTTAAATCAAATAAAACTTTTTTTACATTTCATATTTACTCTTTTTAATTTCAAATAGACCTTTTCTAATTTTAAATGAACTCTTTTTTAACTTCAAATTAGTCTTTTTTTCAAGTGAAATTAACCATTTTTTGCACCAAAAAAGCCTTCTTAAATAAAAAAATAAACCCGTTTTAACTGCAAATTAATTTTTTTTTTAAATTTTCAATTTATTTTTTTCTTCAATTTAGATGTTTTAAATTTCAAATGAACTCTGTTTAACTTCTAGTTAACCTTTTTTACTGTAAAATTAACAATTTTCTAGCAAAATTAACCTATTTTATCTTCAAATTAAAATTTTTTTAATGTAAAATTAATTGTTTGTGCACAAAAAACCTTCTTAAATTGAAATTTGCTGTTTCTTTAAAGGATTAATAAACCTTAAGAAATGTTGTGAAACATGTATAAGCATGTAAAGTAAAATTCCTGTATATCTCCGGTTTTTTTTTTTTTAAATAAAATAAGTGGGCTCTTTGATGACCGTATGGTAATTAATATTAAAAACTATATAAAAGTAAATATGTAAATAAAGGATTGTTTTTTTAATTGGAAGATTTTTCATAATACCCAATAACAGGGTTATAAGTCGTATTTACACGTTTTAATTTAAAATTAAAAATGATGTAAAATTAAATATAAAAACCAACGATTCTTTTGTGCATAATTGTTAAAAAAATTTCCTAACCAAATTGCAATATATCTTCAAATTTTTAATTTTCTTTTACGTTTTCATACCAAGGTTTTTTCCATGTTTTAAAGAATGGGTCCATCTGGAATTAAAATGGGTTAGTTGATGTTATTTGTTATTAAAACAGGGTTGAATTAAAGATAAAAAAAACTGACATCAGTTTTGCGCGATTCAATTTTTTTTAAATGTGTCACACACGTTTCTCTCTCTCTCTCTCTCTCTCTCTCTCTCTCTCTTCTTTTATTATTAGTTCTTTTTCTTTGCTTTTCTTGTCTCTATTGTTCTATCCATCAATCTCTCTCTATACATATTTATTTTTACGCGCACGCACACATACACTCATTATTTCACCCTCTTTTTTTTCCATAAATCTGTGTTATTGAGATGAATGTAAATGATTTTTTATGGAGACTGTGGAATTGGAATGAAAGATGTTGGTGACTCCCAGAAAGAAAGAAGCAGGGTTTATTTTTGTAAATGATGGCTCTTACAAATTTGTTGTTTACAACAATAGTTGTAAGTGAACCTTTATTTACAAAAAGTGAATGTACATATCCCATCATCATCATTACTAGAAGGGTTGTAGAAATTGAACTTAGGAGCAGTTATAACAGTTACTTTCGTTTATATAGAAAATGCTTAGTTGTCAATTGATATTTAAAATGGAATGACTGTCAGACGTAGCACATTTTCTGACTAGCCTCTCATGTCTAAGAATCGAATTTGCAACGCGTTATTTTCGTCATCGAGCCGAAGGCAGATCCTCGGATTTCTACGTGTAATTTTAGATGTGTTTTTTTCACGCTCTTTTCCTCTATCCGAAGGGTTGTTGAGATTTACCGGGATGCTGAGGGTGCGCCCTGCTCCCCTGGGGCTTGTGTTTACTCCCTCCAGAACCCATGGGATCGCCCTGCGGAGGGGCCGGCTCCGGACGGCATGCTCGACACTCCCGGATCGCACTGAGGCCCCTCCGCCGCCTTCTCCTCCGGCTGGACCCTAGCCAGCGGGACGCAAATAGAAAACCAGGGGTCGCCGAATCCGCGATCCCTTCTTCTATTAATTGGCCTAAGCCTGAGTTAAAGCGGTCCTGGAAAAATAACGAAATCCGGATCACGGTTCCAAGGCCCCGTCTTTCCCATTCCCTGACAAAAAGTAAGACTCCTCTACTTTAAAGCCCGAGTCCTCGGTTGAACTTAAAAAAGTCTAAAATTAAATCAGTCAAAAGTCTATTGTAAGAAGTTGCACACGTCGGACGGACAAAACTAAACTAAACTGACAGGCAAAATGTTCCACCCAATTGATTTTTTTCATTTTCTCGATAAAAGAAAATTCTTCCTGAAACCTTTTCAACGTGGCTTAGTGATGGTGTGGGCGTAGTTGGCTCTGGGAAAAATTACAGGCTTCGTACTTTTCACCTTTTTCCACACTCTTTCACGCCCATTTGGAGATGGTAGAGCAAAACTATTCTCATCAGTAAAAAGTACAGGGGGTACATCAGTAAAAGGTACGGGTTCGAGGCGTTTTTTCTCCACGATGGTGCGAATACGTACAAATCACGGGTTATGGGGCGCGCATAGATTCAGAATAGGAGTGAGAGACAGTCCAAATTGCGCGACTTGTGATAAACCAGAAGACTGATCACAAATACAGGCTTGTGTCAATCACTTGATTATGGAATGCCCGGAACACGAGGAGAGGAGAAAAATTTTCCTGGAGAGGATCTATTCCTTGCAGTGTGTAGCAAAACCATTCAGTTTGGAGTCCCTAATTTCAGAAGGTAGAGACGCCGTTTACATGCTTCTATATCAATTCACCAAGGGGGGTAAATAGATATTTGAACAGTCAACACTCCGGGGGGCGGGGTTTCGGGGACCTCAGTGCTTTGAGGCGCCCAGTCGCTTCTGTGTATGAATGACTTCTCTCTCCGGAAAAATTTTGATCTTATTGACTTTTGAGTCAAGTAATTGTTTCTGACTTTTGTGTTGCGTTGTCTGGGGTATTGGGGCGACGGGGTGCGGCGGCTGCGTTCCGGGTGGTGGCGGGGTGGCTGCGGGGTTGGTGGGCTGCCCGTGCTTTCTGGGCGATGTTTAACCCCGAGCGTAGGGAGACGTAGACTTTTCCATATGGGTTTTTGTGTAAATGGTTTTTATCTACGTCTTCCAGGCGCCCTCGTAATTATTTAAAAAAAAAAAAAAAGTACAGCAGACCAATCGTCCAAAGACGACTAATAGCTGTGTTCTCGAGCAAATGCGAGCCGTGCAACTCTGTTTCTTGTCAATTCTGGTCTTCTTACGGGGCGTCCATCCTGATTTAATCATCTTCGAGCAGTGCGTTCAGAAATTTGGACACCTCGAACTTCCTGGAGCCGATGAATGGCTTGAACAAGAGGAAGGTGCTGGTTTCGTAAAATTTTCAAAGTCAAAAAACGGTCATCCTGTGGTTCTGTTATCCTAGGGCGTCCGAGTCTTCTACGGTAGGGCCCAGTTTCTCGAAAACCTCTAACGGGGTTTCACAGAGTTTTGTTGGGAACTCCGATGGCAATAACCGCATACCTGATGATGTCCATCATCAATAAGTACCACAGCACGCCCAGCATCCTCAGCGGCCATTTTAAGTTTAAAAATTGAAATTGAAGAAAACAAAGATGAAAACTAAAGAATTTATTGCTTTAGAATTCAAATGAGACTAAATAAACATTTTAAATTCCGTAAAACGTAAACATTGAAAAATCCTTTATTCCTTGTTTTGGATTAAGGATTAAGTGTGTTTACCTCTCATTGATATTCCCAATTTAAATCATAACTTACACAAATATTTATTGGTAAAAACAATGAGACAAATTAAGGGCGGAATTTTCTTTTATTGAGAAAATGAAAAAAAAAATTGGGTGGAATTTTTTGCCTGTCAATGATTCAATGATTCTATTCAATATCAAAGCAATTTACATGTTTCTATGAATAAGTCAAACACCAGATATCCAAAATTTACAAACTAAAGTTAATTAGTAAAGAGGTGAAACTCGTTTGGGTGAGGGCTCATGCGCGCCTTAAAGACAAAAAAGTGGATGTCTTGGCGAAGAACGCATCGTCCATTGGGTCTCGCTTTTCAGAGTTGAGTGAGAACTCACAAAAAGTTGAACAGGACATATGTGAAAGGTGGTACTTAGATTCCGAGAAGGGAGGCTTCTATAAACAAATTCAACCCCGACCTCCAAATACATGGTTTCATAACAGCACTGTTAGCAAAGCTCTGTGTTTAACAATAAATCGGCTTCGATCAAATCATGCAATTTGCGGTTTTTACTTGAACAAAATATACCTTGTGGACCCCTGCTTGTGATATAGGCTCTCTGGAATTAAGAAAGGACATTCTTAATCCCATAACTCCACCACTCCTTTAAGTAAGGACCAGACCTGGAAAGGTGTGGATGGCTGGCACCACATGCACACCTTTCGGGAGTCCTAACCTGGTAGATAGCCTCCAGAGGGCAAATTTGAGAGAGATGCTTGTGGCGGCCGGTGGTCCCTTTCGGGATGGCAATAGGGGGGGGCCTTTCAAGGATTCCGTATTATTGGCATGACTATGACTTAGCAGATAATGCAAAAAAATAGTGCATTATTCAGTGAAATTGTGAGTGATAGACGTGACTAAATATGAATAATAAACATCTGTTGAGTTATTCAGTCAAATTATACTTTCAATATCAAAGCAATTTACATGTTTCTATGAATAAGTCAAAAATTCGATTGTAAAGAATCATAAAAAAAATCACCACCGATCCTTGGCTTCCTGCCCCAAAAACAAATATTTCGCTTGCGATATATAGCTTTTTTTAGACAAATTAACCCATTTTAACTACAAGTGAACCTATTTTATTTTAACCTATTGTAAACCAATCTTATTTTAAATTTCAAATTTTAGCCCTTTTTAGGCTCAACTGAACCTTTTTTATTCCAAATTAAATTTTTAAAATTTCAAATTAACTATTTTTAACAACAAATTAACCGTTTAACATCAAATAAACCGTTTTTAGCTTCAAATGAAACTTTTTTAGAAGCCAGAATATCGTATGGATAGGGATAAAAGAGGGGGGAGTACAAGGGCTGCTGTACCTCAACCTGAGTAGATCTATTGTGCTCCCCTGTTATTTATAACTGACCAGCTTCAGGTTATTAATCAGCCTCCACAGCTCTGCCAGCGGATGTGTAGGATCTTGCTTGTGGTTTTTCCTGTATTAGTTGCAAGAACCTGCACCTACATAGGCCTTCAAAGAGTATTTTGCGGTCTCCTCCTCTTCCTGGCAATATCCGCACAGCGTTTCTTCTGTCTGTACTCCTATCCAGTGCATGTGCCTTCTGAGGTGGCAGTGTCCTGTCAGGAGCCCAACCAGAATCCTGGTTCGGTTGCGGCTGCCTTCTAGTAATTTTTTTGTAAATTTTGCGGATGGTCATTCTATGAATCTTTCATACCTGTGGTATTATTCCACCAGGTTTTGGACTCATTACGGATCCATTTTAAGATGTATCCTCTTTTGTGCTAGGATGCTAAGCCACAGCAGGGTGCAGGAACCAGAGAGTCCACGTTGGCCCCCTTTTTAGCCAACATGTCAACCTTTTCGTTGCCTCTATGACCCGAATGTCCAGGGACCCATGGCAGGGTCAGGTCATTGGTATGGTGAGGGCCTCCGTGCAGTTCTAAGGCCCTGAGAGCTGCCTGGCTGACAGAGAAAATGGCTATCTTACGGGAATGTATTCCTAGCCTTCTTATTTCTCTAACACATTGTTCAATCGCTATGATTTAAGACTGGAAAACTAGCATCCTTGCCTAGGTTTACCGTCAGTTCATCCCAAAGACCCAGCTCCCGTATACTTGTCGGTTTTGGAGACGTCAGTATACCAGTAGGAATTTGCCTTTACTGGTGTTCCTTTAGCCCATTCTTCCTGTACCGGTATCAGTACTTTGTACTTCTTGGTGAAGTTGAAGGAGGAAGTGCCCCTTTATTCTTCACCTAGTCTCAATACGATTGGTACGTGAGAGCTCTTTCAAGAGAAGTTACAAAGAGTTAATTTGAAATGTCAAAATAGTTCAATTTGAAATTCATAAAGGTTCATTTGAAATTTATAAAGGATTAATTTGATGTAAAAAAGGTATTTTAATAAAAAAAATTTAAAAGTTATAAACCTACCTTTATTCAAGGGGTACTGATAAAAGGTAAAACTTCTTAATCATACATAAACCTAAACGTTTAGCATAAAATGAAATAAATAAAACCCAACCTGAGTAAAAATTCAAAGGTACATTTAGGTGAGAGGAAAGAGATGTGTTATTTGGTCGTTTTTGATCATAATTGTCTATCTTCGCTGATGTGATCTGTCAGATGTTCATCACCTAGCTCACCTTAATTAAACTTTATATATTATTTTTAAAAAAGAGGCACAATAAAATAAGAAAATGTTTTGATGAAATGACTTTAACCGTGAGGTATGAAAAGTTCTGGCTTCGCAAATGTTAAAACTTATCGTTATGTAAAATCTTGAATTTGCCATGAGATTAAACGGCCGATGGAGAACCAGATAAGGATTAAAAGCTTTTAACAATCAATGATACATTCGCTGTGAAGGTTGGGCGGAAAAAAAGAGTCCAGGTATTTAATATGTTCCAAGTGTGAATATTAAAACTGGACTTTCCATTCGGTCTTAACGGCGCTCATGCACTCGTGACGCGGACTTTCTCTTTTTGCCAAGAAAGGATTTTATCTTGTTCGAAAAAAAATCACGACAAAGAGAACGGCAGAGACCGTTTTCAGCGATTGTCCATGGGATGGAGGAACCAGCTTCGCGTGCTGCACGTCGTCCGCTAACGGTGAAGTTATTTGACGGTAATCATCCAAACCCTGCTTGATTTCGACCGAATACCAAAGTATTGTTTTATGACCTGTTTGACCATCCGGGTCCGCCCGTACTCGCTCGGCTTTCCTTAAACTTATTAACAAATTGAAATGTATGGAAGAATTGAACTTAGGTGATTTAAAAATCGAAAGTGGAAATGTAAGGTGCAAAGTTCAAGGAGAACACCCGTAGCCATAGGCCAATCCTGCAAAAAAAACACTCCAGAAGTCAAACGATCATGTT